GGGGGGGAAGAGAAGAGAAGAGAAGGGGAAGAGGGAGAAATGGGGAGGGAGCTATATAGGAAAATGCCTGTCAGGTTGTTCTTGTGGAGACCTTCCTGGCTATTCCACTGCAACATGGAAGTTGACTGTATTAAGGCATTAGGAAATTTAAGAAATAAGCAAGTCGAATTTTGTATTTATACTTACTACATTTGTAATTCTTCAGCAGTCAAGGAACAATACTTCAGTGATGAACAGCAGCACTGTTCTGAGGTGACAAAGAAGCATTAACCTAGTTTATCCTGAAGCATAAAAATTGCTAATACTGTTAAGTAGGATATTCAAATAAGCATGTGTTTTATGTTTTTTTAAACAATAATGTATATTGCAAAATTGATTTTGAGTTTTCTTCTGAAATTACATTTGCAAAATAGATCTTGACCAGTCAGAATACTGCAATACCCCCACATTTTTGCTCAATGCCTGACAAGGACAGATTTCTCTTTTTGTTATTGTAAACAAACCAAAAAAGCAAAGCTACATCTTTTGAAACAAAGTGACAAACAGTATGAGTCACCACTCCATACTATCACAATATCACTAAGAAAGCTTGGCTACTTTATGAACTTTTCAATTCAGATTGCCGTTTCAGTAACACATTTATGTTCTCAAGTAATTTTACACTTAATCCTTTCGAAGTCTGCTTTATTAATGTAGTCAGCAATTTTACACCAAAGTTTTTTTAAAGATATTTCTATCTTCTGCCTCCCCACCCAAAAATCAGAAGGCTGCATTTTTGATATATTGATATTATTCAACAAAAAATTATTTTTATCTAAAAATACTTAAAAATCTTTTCTTTTAGCTACTTGGAGGTCACATGTAAACACATGAAATTTAATCTGAAAGGGTAACTGATGAGATTGTGTTTAGAGCATAACTTACTAATTTGGCTTATTTCTGCTTCGTCTGTTAAAGTGCTTATATTCTCTCTCTCAGCCAGCTTCATTATGAAATTGCAGTGTATACTATAATGAGAAGAAAGAGCTTTAGACTCAAGAAACAGATCTGCCTCATTTTTACAATGCATGAAACTAACATCAAATGCTAAGTGAAAGCACATTAGCACAAATGCTAAGCGTGAAAGCACATTCTTCCTAGGCTCTTTCAGATTTGGGGATATTTTTAATGCACATAAAACGCTATGCCAGGCTAAACAGAAAAGTAATACATCAGTTTGTGGCAGCTTATTTTCTCTACAGACACTGTTGATTCTTAAATGGCATCCTCCCTAATTAATGTTAGCCATTAAAGCATTGATAATTTTGTAAAGATAACAATGTAATCTCCACTGTTACTGTAAAGAGACTCCAGAGAGGAACTAGCAAGTGTCCTAGGTAGCTATGTCAGTGCATATGAAAACTCCATCACCGGGGGAAAGCCAGTGTTCTCTCTCCTGACTTTAGAGAGAACTTAAATGATCCACCTAAGCATGTAACTACATAGTTATGGTTCGATGACCTGAAGCCCTGCCTAAACTAGCAAACCTACAATAATAATTCTTCATGTTCAGCAAACTCAAACACACAGGTGAATGAAAAGGAAACACATAAAAGATGAAGTGAAGCTTCTTTCCAGCTAATAAGAATAAAAATAGTACCCTAACTACTGCCAGTATATGATGTGAAGGTGTGATCTGACTTTCTGTCTATTACTATTTAAGTGTTTTGGACTTTTCTTTCATCCTAACCCAGGAAGATAAACCCCACATTAAAGTATTTGGGGAAATGAAGTTCCACATTTTATTTTAGAATATAGCGTTTCCAAACTGATCAGTTTAAAGGACCAGCAATTTAGTGATGAGTAGCAATTAAATTAACAGACATTATCTACATTTCAGGGTTTCCAGGATCACCTCTGTGGAGCAGCTGTGCCATTCTGATACCCCATGGCTTCCAAACTCTGAACTGGTTACCTTCTCAGGCTTCCCATACCCTGAAGACAGTTGATTTCCCAAGCCAGAGGACAGCAACTTGGGATGTCTGAAGCAATTCTCTCAAAGACTGCATTGTATTCACAAGCTCTGGAAATTTGGTGGTTCCAAATCCCACAGCCTTAGTCACTAAGTTGCTATGTGACTTAGCTAATACAAAGACGCAGAGAAATATGGCAGGCAAGCCTGTGCTTCACCAGAAGATTAATGAAAAGCAATACAGTTTGGTTTTAAAAAAAAAAAAAAAAAAAAAAACAACTTAAAAAAAAAACATTAATGTGAGGAGAATAATGGGATCAGAATTTCTTTGTCAGCCTACATATATTTCTACAGCCTATTTCTCAAACTTAACTTCCTAGAAAGTTTGTTTTTTCTTCTGTTACATAGCCATTCATACTTGATAGATCCCAAGACAATATATAAGCTTTTAAATATATGAGCATTTAAAAAATTAACAACAAACCTCTGGTTTTCTGCACTGCATTCCATAACAGAGGACTGTAATGACAAATGAAAATAGAAAAAAGTTGTTTTGTCATGAGAAAACAGGACTGATACTTAGATAATGACATTATCAGAAATAAGTTGGAAAAAAGTTGTCCAAACAGTAACAACAATTAGTAATCTTACCTCACTTACTGCTTGCAAGGTTTTGTTGAACTCTGAAATTCTTTAAAATAAAAAGTTACCATTATGAGGGATTTCTAGTTATGTTCCTAAAGACAATTACAACAATATAATGAAAAGAACAAGCAATTACTGAGAAAGAAAAACATTTTTCCAGCTGATCTGTGATTTTTTAAAATTATGCCAGTTCTAATATTGTAAAACCACTTTTCAAAGGATTAAACATTTTAAAAGTTGCCTTTTATTAGTCACTCCACAAACTAAGTTTGAACCTCTGTCATCACATATTTTAATATCAACCCACTTATTTAAAAGTTATTTAAAAGAGCAAAAGATAAATCTTAATGTTGCCTTTTGGCAAGCAAGCATTTGGAACAGAATTCTAAATTTATACTCAAAACCACAGAAGTAGAATAAGTAAGAAATATGGATTTCTTCTATAAACAAGACCTGTTGGCCAATTACATCTTTCTGATTTTCAGGGTACGTTTTGGGAATAGCAATAAATATTCACTCAGTCAAACCTCTCCTTACAAAGACTGTGAAAGAAGAAACTACACCAAAATAAAAATATAGATATGACTGCAAGAATACATATTAAAAAACACACAGCTATAAAAGTTCTCTTAGTAATTTCCTATGAGACAGACTGAATCCCTGAAATTACAAAAACCATTTATTCATGAAGAGCAGCAGCCAGACTGGCATTCTCAACAATCCACAACTCATGTCCTCAGGTGGTATTATTATTATTACTACTACTACTACTACTGTTATTAAGATCATCGGCATATAAACAACAAGGCCTGAAGGCCTTGTTGAGCCCCAAGGAAACTGAAGGGCCTAAAAGGAAATCAGCAAGTGTACCATTTCTTAAAGCAAACTCCAGTGGTACATAAAACAAAACTAAGACTATTTTAACCAATGTGAACTTTATGTTAAAGAACAGTAACTTACAACTCCTGAAATTTTTAAAGTGCAGGAATAATGCAAAGTGAAGAGTCTGCTAACCACATGGAAGGTCTCACGTCATCTTTTTCAAACGTAACAAAGATTTCGATCCTTATTAAAAATTACTTACCTCAATTCTTGTGGGGTAGGTGCTGGAATTGCAAGTAATTTTGTTACTTGATTGTTGATGGTTATGTTATTAATCTGTTAGAAACAAAGATTCCACAGCTAAGTAAACCCAGTAACTTTTAGCCTTAAAAGAAACATGTTTACTTCACACATTTTAACCGTCTGAAATTCCAAAGAGAAGAAGCACATTTTCTCATGACTACACTTCAACAAATATTTACCATGACACTGTTGTCACAACTTATGGAAGGAATTGGCTCATCTAGTATAGACCGAATAACTGGATCTGATTTGTGAAAGATATGGCAAGAGGATAGTGACCTCACCATACCTCATGTTGGAAAAAGGGGAATTTGGCTTAGTTTGCAGTGAAGACAGCTTAGACCAGACACTGAACAAACTTTCTAACTGTAAGTGGAGCAATGGGACGAGCTCCATAATAGACATAAGTAACAGACAGCATAGAATCCTGGGAGTAAGAAGTCAAGAACTGAGGTGAAAGACATGGTAGGAATGATCTAAATATATATGATCTAGCCTTAGGGCAAGGGGATACACTAAGGTTTATCTAAAGGCCCTTTATAGAACTGCATTCTTCTGGTTGCCACCATTACCACTTATTTTTACATTTCATGCAAGCAGCGAGCACCATGATGAAAACATCTAACATATATAGTATTGACATTATCTTAGAAATATTCTGCTAAAAAGTAAAAGAGTTTAAGAGACAGGAAACCCATTTTTTCCAATAGCTGTAGGCATAATGTTAATACGCTAGGACAGTTTCAGCAGGCACTATCACCACTGAAATGCAACACAATGCAGAGGTGGCTTGCTTTTGCCTGAACTCAATGCTCCATGTGCACCCGTGCAGTAGCTCTCTGCAGTGGTTTTGCTGACTGCTCTCATGCTTGCAGAGACTGGCATGTAAAATCTCAGCCTGAGCGCAGACAGGGATGTGTAGGAGAAAGATACAAGGTCCTTTACAAGCTAATGTCCTTTTTTTGTACTCCCTTCAGTTTTCCATTTATAATGACTAAACATTCTCATCCTCATAGTATTATCTCGATACTGAATGATCTGTGTGGTCCTTGCTTTGCATGGTATCATTCTCTTAAACCTCTGTTGTGCTGTATAAGTGGACACACTTGTGTCACATAGGCATATTGCAAAATTAATAACTGATTAATGACATATCAAAAAAGCATAGAACGATACCCTATTTATGACAGTGTCAACATGAATTATTCCCAGGATGCAATCCAACTTAATTTATGCCCACACTGTTGCCATCTAATGATGCTCACCTTCTAAACTAAAGTGCCTAAGTTAATCTCCAAAGGAATCATAGAATCGTTTAGGTTGGTAAAGACCTTTAAGATCATCCAGTCCAACCATCAACCCAACACCACCATGCCCACTAAACCATGTCCTGAAGTGCCACATCTACATGTTTTTTGAACACCTCCAGGGATGGTGATTCCACCACTTCCCTGGGCAGCCTGTTCCAATGCCTGACAACCCTTTCAGGAAAGAAATTGTTCCTAATATTCACCCTAAACCTCCTCTGGAGCAAGTTGAGGCCATTTCCTCTCATCCCATCACTTGTTACTTCGGGGAAGAAACCAACCCTCACCTTGCTACAGCCTCCTTTCAGGTAGTTGTAGAGAGCAATAAGGTCTCTCCTAGGCCTCCTTTTCTCCAGGCTAAACAACCCCAGTTCCCTCAGCTGCTCCTCATAAGACTTGTGCTCCAGTCCCTTCACCAGCTTTGTTGCCCTTCTCAAGGAAAATCCTGTATGCCTAAATGTAGACTCTTAATTAGGCAGTTCCTCTCTCCAGACTTCCCAGAGCTTCCCCCTCCTTTCAGTGGCTATATAGAGAATATAGGCCCTTAACGTAGGAAGTTTACTTAGCTGGAACACTAAAATTTAGGTGCAAAGCAGCTGTTTGAGAGAGAGAGAGAGAGAGTAAATCCACCCACTGCAAATATTAACTTGTACTGCAAACTGTATTTGAAATAAAATAGAACTACAGAAAACATAATAAGAATCATGTTAGGGTATCAGTATTTTAAGTGTAGACAAAGAAACTCATTTCAACCTTCCCTACAATAAAGTTTTAAAAGAGAAAACACTTACTATTTCTACATTTAGTGACGTGTTACTTTCTTCACTTGCCTGAAGTTTTACCTTGCCCACATAGAACACTAAAACCAAAAGGCAAAAAAGTTAAGAAAATCAACACTAAACCACATGAGGTAAAATTATTTGAGAATTTAAAAATTCACTGTCTTGTGTTACAATAGAAGGGAAGTAAGAACACTTATACTAGCTTTTCTGGTAATTCACTATTTTTGCAATTGTTCTTTCACCTCTTCACTTACTATTTCCACAGATGAACTAGTCCAATAGCTTCATTATTTTCTTTATATTTATTTTTGTTGTCTGTCTCTAAATTCCTTCTAGTCTTTTTTTTTTTAATCCCAAAACAGAAAAACTGCACTGCACATTACTATTAATACAACTCCAACTCCCACAGAATAAAATGTCTGGGTATAGGCAAAGCAATATTCTGCAAATTATTCCCTTGGGGATTAAAGAACTTACAGGATACCGTAATTCAGAGCATCATTCAACAGTCCTTGATTGCTGGTAGGCCCACTTTGGAGACAAACTTCTATGATACTTCTCTTCCTGCAGCCACACATTCAGTGCAGGCTACAGAGAAAGACCCATACAGGAATGCATACATGACGTCACCCAAATCATCTAGCAATTTACTGTGTCAACCAGCAGGGAAACTGTATAGACAGGGGGTGGGGCAGATATTTATTCTGCCTCTTCCTAATCTATAAAGTACTTAGCATATGGCTACTCAGCAGAAGTGACTTCATTTTCTGAAGTATTCTCACAGAAGCTATTTATCAAAGCATTTTGGAAGGCAGCAATGTATCAACAAAATCTTCTTTTACTATGTTTTTGTTAACGCACATAAAGGGAATATCACTGCCCTTTCCATTTTCCTTTGTCTGTCTGTTTTGTCACATTACGCTTTTAAAATACATGCAGGCTTTTACAGTAATTCTCCTAAACACTATTTCAACTTCTATTCCTGATACAGAAGTAGGCTCAATATGGCAGGCATTAGCATCTACCATAGCATACTAGTTTCTTGTTTTCTCAGGTTTGTAATTCTTATCTGCAACTGTGTATCCTTTGATAAGAAACCAAAGATCAAAACTACAATAGACTAAACACAACTTTTAAATTAAAACCCCCATACTTTATATTACTTTTTTAGAAGTTATACAAAATCTCTCTAAATTTGCAAAAGAATTTATTACTGAGCTAGCTTTTATATAGCAACTAAACATTGCCTCATTACTTAGAATAGAAAATAGTTGGACATGTTTTTTGTAAGAAAAAAAGGAAAAAGAAAACCACTAACCTGAAAAATTACAGACAGGTGTTATGTTGCATAAAATAGTTTCTCCTGCAATAATTTCTTTGGGGAAGAAAAAAATCTAGTGAGTAAAAGAGTTGAACTTAAACCCAGTACTGACAAACATACATATTTACAATCATTTCAATGTTTTAAATGTAAAGGTCTTTACCTTTTAGAAATATTTCACACACTGTCTAGGCTTTACTTCCCTAGGGCACTTACCATGACATTTTCCAAGACTTAATATTCAGAGTGAAACATTCTGGTTTTGATTAATTAATTTTGAATAATTTTCTGTAACTGTTTCCACAGAAGACCTACATGCAAGTAGTCTCTATTTTTTCTTTTTTTTTTTTTTTTAAATCCAAATAAAACAGAAATCAGCATACCCTAAATAAACTTTTCAAATATCACAGTATTCAGTCACTAGGTAGCACATTATCTGCTTCTGAGGATCCTACTACAGCTACTTAGGATAGCATGAAACTAAAACTGTTCTACCCGATAGAATTCAAACTATGATGATAGCAAATGTATACTCTCTTCTAGTAGAACATGTCTTTACTTAGTTACAGCAAGCTTTTGGCTGCTCCCATATTTTTAATACTACCTACACTGCAAAGAAAGTCTCAATTTAATCCCGATCCCAAATTAAGATGGCTCTGTTGCATAAAAACAAAATAAAGGACCAGAAAGATATTTGCATCCAAGACAAAACTCCTACACTTGTTCATAAAAACAGTGCGGCAGCACAACTTTCCTTACTTAAGCAGATAGATTGGCATCCATTAATGGAAAAACAAATGCTATTTTCTCTGCTCTTATCATTAGCTAGTAGCAAATGAGATGGGAATTTTTTTTACTTTTTTACTTTTTCTGTGGTACAAATATTTGCCTGTTACAGCTTGATGCTTCATCAATTTTATCACCATCAACAAACAGCCATCACAAGGGTACAGATCATGAGCTGGTGGCAGTATTCAAATTATTAGAAAAAAAAGTATTTTTTCAGACAGCAATTTAGATTTGAATAAATTTGCCTTCCCTTTTGTGTTGGCACTTGTCAGTGAAATAGTTAGGAAAATTGTAGTAGCACTTTTTTTTTTTTAAACAATCGTTAAAGAAATAACGTGTTTATAAATAACTGAATTTGTCAAAATTATTAACTACATAAAAAACCCAACACTTATAAAAACCCAACACAAAATCCAGGAGTGACACAAAGTAAAGAGTAACATCAGCCTCTTTTTCTTTACAGAGTATCTATTTGTGTGCCACCTAGTCTTGCTTAGGATCTCTGCATGCCACCAAAATGCACAAAATAGATAAACAGTGTGGAGGATAAAAGAGTGGTCAAAAATCACTAGTGCTTCCAGCCCCCAAAGATCATCAGATAACACAGCTGCAAACTTCCTGCAGGTCACATTCACACGGTCAAATTACACTAGCCAGTATGGCTCCAAGGCAGTTCCACCACTCACACTAATTCAGTGCAAATACATTCTAATTGGTCTTCCAGGCTCCTACATGGATAATAAAAAAAATTAAATTCAGCCTACTCCTGTAGAGTAGACCTGCCTGGAGAACATCATGACTGGCTTCGATCTACTAAAAAGCATGAGAATTTTTTTTTTTTTTTTAAGTAAACATGGTCCCTGAGATTGTTTTTCTTACATCTTTTTGGTAACCTGCTGCTCTGACTTAGAAAATAACCAAACTCTTCTATAGGTGGCCATGTAGACAAGCATTGCAGAATTAGACCTTCTACCAGACTGGAGATCAATGCGAAGTAAGGCAGACTGCTAATATGACACACCATAATACCAAGAAAAAAGATCCTATTAGAAATATTTGGGAGCAGACCTCCTGAACTCACACACGCTTAAATTTTGAGGGGCATAAAAGAAGATTAGTGGTGATATATGAATCCTACCTGGTGTTATGGTGGAGTAATAATCAGTGATGTTAAGAGCTTCTGTTATAAAAAAAAAAAGTTTTAAAATTAAGTTTTCACTTTTTCACTTAAAAAGCCTATGAAATACATGTCACAAAAATAAGTTTCCTAATTTCTACTTTAGACCCTGTCTTCCCAGGAGAAGTGTGAACACATGACCATTTGGGAATTAAGTTACTCTCAGCAAGGGAAATGAAAAAGCAGCATTCGGAGTGAGATCCATCCAATCAAATGTTTATGTCCCAATATGAGCCAGTTACCTTAGGCTCCCTATTATTCAGTGGGGAAAGTGGTGCTTTTAAGGTCTGAGTCATTCCCATTTAACCTATTCTACATGAGCACTTCAGCATAAGATGTCCTAAAAATGTGTCTTTCTCTCCACCAACTATGAAGAATAGCAGGATGTCTAGCTCATATACAGACATGTAGGTATCTGTACTGATGTGGGATGAACCTACTCCTTGTTTTCAAATGCAAACATCAGGAAAAAAAGGGGGTAGCAAGTTCTTCTGATTGAGTCTTCACTGATCGTATTTGGCAGCTCACTGCAAGAACATGTATCATCTAAGTGTCTTCAAGGAATGGGGTGTACATTTTAGTTCTGTAAAATACTTTAAACAGTATCAGAAAGTACAGAAAACATTCTATCTACAGATATACCGAAAAACTACGTACTTGTTAAAAATAAATATGCCCAGTTTGGGCTTTGGTAAGCAATGTAATATTTTGAATAAAAAAGCAAGGTTAACAGCTCAGTGTCAGCTAAATGCACTTCAAAACCCTACCCATGCAGACTTAAAATATACACTGGACATAAATACAAATTTTAAGTTCACATTTTGACCAAACAAATCCCAGTTATTAAAAAAACCAAACAAACAACAAACTTTCATCAATGAAACAAACATCTCCCTTCAGACCTTACTTTCTTTGTGGTAATTCTCACCTGCAGTTTGTGTAGTCTCCTCTGAAGTCATATCTGAGGAAGAAAAATTAATAACAGTAAAAACAATAAAATTAAAATAAAAATCTAAAAAATCTAAGAAAATCTAAATCTAAAAAATCTAAGAAAATCTAAATCTAACTAAATCTTGCCTGAAGGATTAATAGGATAGATGATAAAAGTAACAATAGAGGATTCTGGCAGAAAAAAAAGAGAAAAGAAGTAAAAACTGTATTAATATAGTATTTTATTTCTATTAATTTTGGAGAAAAAGGATCAAGCATGCAAAATGTTGAACAGGAACTAAATATTATTTCTCTAAGTTCCATTTCAAGAACAACTGCAGTACTTGTTAATGTTCACATTATTTCAATGTAAAATATTTGAAATGGTGTTCATATTATTTTAAAAATCTGAGTATCTGAACACAAACAACTGGTAATTGAGTTCCTTCAGATAAGTTCCTTTTACTGGTTTCATTCTTTTAGAAGATGCAGATGAATTTGGCATATCCAATAGCAGTAACTGCATAGCCCCAAGGACCTTTTCCTGCATGCAACCACAATATTCATGAGCAGAGATGGCACACTGGCTTTGGCAAACTGTCTCTCTAAAAAACTATTTTTGCCAATAACCATATATAAATAAAATAGTGTGAGGATGCAATTTTTTTCAGCTACATCAAAAAAAAAAAAAAAGAAAATTACATTAAGACAACAGAAGAAAATTTAAAGATTGCTCAGGAAGGATGTGCTTAGTAAGTATATTTTAGGTGTCAGTGCAGGAATACAAAGTAGTTAGAGGACCACTTTATATCACTCCAACATGACAACTTAGTGACTTTTTTAAAATGGGCCAGAGCAGCTTCATAACAGAAGAACACTACGCTTTCCAAACTTCTCTACTAAAAGCATCACTGTCATTAGTAGAAGCAATATCCAAAGTATAATAAAGAAAAGTTGGTGGCTCTGCAAAAAGATAGTTGCATATCAAGGGAAAAAAAAAAAAAGCAATCTACTTCATTACATGGAAAGGGGAAGGGAGCTTTTCTTTCTGATATATTTATTTCAACTAGACTAGTCATTTTGAGCCTTTTTAAAAGCACCCTCCTAATTCCATACTTGGAATAAAAGCTAAGCATATTTTGTTCTTAAGTAATGTCCTGGTTTCAGCTGGGATAGAGTTAATTTTCTTTCTAGGTATAGTGTTACATTTTGGGTTTAGTATGAGAAGGATGTTGATAACATACTGACGTTTCCAGTTGTTGCTAAGTGGTGTTTAGACTAAGTCAAGGATTTTTCAGCTTCTCATGCCCAGCCAGCAAGAAGGCTGGAGGGGCACAAGAAGTTGGGAGGGGACACAGTCGGAACAGCTGACCCAAACCGGCCAAAGGGATAGTCTATACCACGTGATGTCATGCCCAGTATATAAACTGGGAGGAGTTGGCCAGGGAGGCGGATCGCTGCTCGGGAACCGACTGGGCATTGGTCAGCGAGTGGTGAGCAACTGCATTGTGCGTCACTTGTTTTGTATATTCTAATTCTTTTATTATATTATTATTATCATTATAATTATTATTTTCCTTTTCTGTCCTATTAAACTGTCTTCACTCAACCCACGAGTTTGGTTTTTTTTCCGATTCTCTCCCCCATCCCACTGGGTGGGGAGGAAGTGAGCGAAGCGGCTGCCTGGTGCTTAGTTGCTGGCTGGGGTTAAACCATAAGTAACAATCCTGAAGACAACTGATTTTCTAAGACAACTAACAAGCAGCCAAAATATGAGGAATCAGAGTGAAAACTAAAGTGCTGACTTCATCTGTATTATTTGGCACGGTATAAACTACAACAAATAGTGAATTGGCTCCAGTGTTAAAGATGAACCATTCGCAGAGAAAGATTGTATCTGGAAAAGAACAAAAGCATGTGTGTTTGCATCTGTATTATTTCTTTTCTCCAGAGCACAATATGTCAGTATACATTAAGCAAGAAACCAACTGGCTTTCACACAACTAATTCTGTGTGTCTACATTCTTCATTTTTTAAATATGCTTTCAGAGATGATGTTCATCACCTCTGGTCCCAGAAGTTACTAGTCTTGCGTGTGTGAGTGTGTGTGAGTGTGTGTGCAGTATACCACACTGCACGAAATGACATATGCACATCTGCTAGGGTGGGAGGAGACGTAAGGGAGCTCTCTCACTACAGTCATCCTCCTCTGCCACCTCGGCAAACTGTTCGCTGTTTAGGTTACTGGGCAAAAGGCTCCTGATCAAGCAACTTGTACCTGCTTTATCCCCAAGCATCACTGCCACAAAGCATGAGCAATCCTATGACGTAAGCTATTTCATTACAAAGTAGAATGAAGAAATTATTTTTCTCTTCAAAAAATAAGCAATGAAAACATTAAATGTGAGAACTCATTTACATTACAACTTTTCTGCATTACCTCAGATAAAAGCAGATTTACCTAACAGGAAATAAAAAACATTGCAGTATGCAGCAAAGTCCTGATTTTCTTACCAGAAATGGTTGTTGCAGCTGATTCTCTTGAATTTTCAGCTTTTGTTTCAGACATAAAAGGGGAAAAAAAGAACCATAATGAAGTTTCAGACACATACATAGCCACCCTCAGCAGCCTTTCCTTATATTAGCAAAAGTTTACTGCATTCACCAGAAGAGGGCAACACCTGCTTATCAGAAGAAAAATTCCAGGTTGTCAAAAAAGGCAGATGTAACAACCTCTAACTAAAAAAATTACAATTTTAATGAATTCAAATAGAATTCAACTGAAGGCGACTTCCTTTCAACAAATACTGGACAGTTTGTTAAGAAAACAAAAACCATTGACCCAAGATATGTGCCACGCTAGCCTGAAAGCTGCATGCCTACCATGAGTGTCTTGCCAATTCAGAGAATGGGAATCAAGCGTGCATAACAAGATGGCTGTAGTTGGGTATGAAGAACTCTTCTCAGACTTTGTATAATAACATTGAGACTTGTCATTTTAAAATTATCCCATACATATCTCTTCTCTTTTCTAGCCTGCAAAAAGCAACATTACAAAAAGCTAATTCATTTCAAGTCTGAACCTCTGATCTTGATAGGAGCCAGCCAACTACTTACATAGCAAACACTAGCCACTAAATCTTTGATGTTGTTACAGTCAGTATTTTGATCAAAAAGAAATTAGGAAATTTGATATCTGGTTCACATAGCAAGTTCAAAATTAGCCCTTTCGTACATTGAGTAGTTTTTGACCGTGCCATGGACAAGTCAAGTCACAGTTATCACAGAAATATAATCTAAAGAACAGCTGGCTGCAAATATGAAACACTTCAAAAAATATACTTGAGGTATTTCAACATCTTCTCTCAAAACTCAAAAGTCATTCTATAATGTTACTTACAATACACTAATGATACTGTAAAGCTTTTCCTAATGTTGTAGAAGAATTGAGCGAGAGATACCAAAAGTCTTTGCGGAAACCCAGAGTTTTTTGGTTAAACATAGTGAATGAGGAGTTTCTGAAATGCTAATTGCTCACATGATTCCTTGCTCAGACTATTTTTCTTGACTTACTGAAAACTAGTAATAGCTTCTTTCCAAAGGATAAATGTAAATATAATTTCTGCAATGAAAGCAGAATTGGAATAATCTCAGTGACCTTATTTTCATTTTCTCTGGAAAATTACTGATGCTATTTGCACCATGAAATATGCTAAATAAGCCACAAGGATGATATGGATAATTAATTTGCAAATATTTACATATTCTTAACTATCTCTATGAACTAAAAAGTAACAGCAGCAGCAATCTTCCTACGACCTTTCTAAAATACAAGAACAATGGGGAAAAAATTACACAGAACACCCATATACCTGTTATCAGTTTTCTGCCAGGCAACATAGCAGCAGTTTCAACTACAAAGGAAGAAGATTTTTTAGGAGCAGAATTTTTTATATATATTTGTACCCACGCATATATACACACACTTTTTTAAATGCAACCGTTTTAGATGTGCTACTCACCTCAATTCAAGCTGGTTTGCAAAACTACTTTGCATCCATTGAGAAACGCGTGTTGAGTCTTTTTGAAAGCTGGAAGTTGCAACTCTATTGAGTTCAATTTTTTACTCAGTTTATCACTTTTACACTCATGGAAGACACAAATTAGGCTGTGAGCTTTCCCACTGCCCTTCCATTGCCAATGTCTTCAGAAACCCTTTCAGCATGTTTGCTTGAGTGAAGATGAAGTAGACCGAAGAGCAGCAACCAAAATTGTAACAGGTATACACAGCTATGCTTTCATGCAGCTATTTTTGCAAAAATGTAGAAAAGAAATGCTGATGGATTATTCAAGAAGTGAAATTTTATTAACGCAAAGAGAAACAAAGAAATCAAACCAAAAAAAAAAAAAAAGCAGGGGGCAGGAGAGTTGGGTAAGACAGGGATGCTTTATTCCATACATGTTTACAAATTAATAAGGTATGCTTTGAGAATACATCTACATCACGATGTGCATATACATCATGTAGATGCTCACATGCCCAAGAGCTGCACCACCAAAGATTATCTAAACAATGAGCAGACAGATCAGGCTGCCAGAAATGAAGTGTCTCAGGTGGACCTGGACTGGGAATGAAAAGGTGAGCTATTATTTCTAGCTCAATGGGCCCATGAAACACGTCTCTAAGGACACCTTGGGAGAGATGCAGCATACAGATGGGCTCTTGATCAAGTTGTGGATATGACAACTGAAGCTACTGCACAGGCTACCCATGAATGTGAAACATGTGTTGTAATCAATATCAGTATGAGGAGGCCCAGCAGATCAATTACATCAGACCACCGTGAACCTGCCACCAGGGCAAGTGCTATGTGCTTCCCGTGGCGGAGGCAACTAGCAGTGGCTAGAAATGTACGCTGCAGCCTATGCCACCACCCAAAACATCATCCTGGGCCTTGAAAAACAAGTGGCAACACAGCATGACATACAGTTAAGGCACTGTCACCTACTTCAGCACCCTTGATAGCTGAGACGCTGGCTGTTGGGGCAAGGAAGAAGAGATACCCTCTTCAAGTCACCGAACCTGGTGAGATACTCTAGCCACAGCCAAGCTGCAGGCTAACAGGGTTGCGGAGGAAGAGAGATTCTCTGAATTGCCAGAGCTAGTGGGACAGTTTCTCCACAGTTGATATCCGGCCAGTCCATCACCACCAAGGTGTTGGCATACTACACTGGTGCGTACTGTACTAACCTCTGCCACATGGCCCATGTGCAATGGACATCATCCAGATCTTTGGTTGCTGTAGACCACCTCCACCACTGCTAATTCCCTCAGATAATGGACACTCTCCTTTTTCCATCAATGGTGGTCCACTTGCCTTAGTAGTCTACAAGTAGTAGTAGTAGTAGTAGTAGTAGTAGTAGTAGTCTACAAGACCATCCTCAAACTCTGAATCCAGTGATCCAAGTTCAAATCTCTGTGGGACCTCCAGTAACCAAACAGTTGGGGATGACACACAGGAGAGTGCTCTGAGGCAGCAAATTCCTGGGTAGGAAGGTGTGTGGGAGAATTTGGGAAGTTGCCTAGAGCAATTTTCACCTCTGATGGCCTGGGAGTTTACACCTGAACAAGCACGGAATCCTGCTGAAATGGCAGACTGAAGGAAGGATGTCTTGCTTACACCAAAGACACTGAGACTTTTGGTGCTGTGTTGGGGCCTGGCCTATGACTACCAGGCCTGTGTCCAACACCCTGGAAGGAGCAAGAGCATCTCTGGATCTAAGGACATACAAATGGATGCTGTGGCTAAACCAGAGACACAACCCTAACCATAACAGACACTCCTGCAGTCAAGAGGAAACAACGGAAGTGGAGGTTGACCCAGTTGGAGAAGGAAGCAGCAGCTCCTCTTGAGGGGATGCAGGAAGAAAACTCAGAAGAGACAGCCTGTTCTGCAGCAGGACAGCCACAAGAACAGGAGGGGGAAGTCACAGAAAACAAAAGAGGCAGAAACCACCTAGTCCCTATTCCTGAGCGAGCTGCGACATATACATAAAGATTACAGCTGCCAGCCAGATAAACAGATTGCTGTCTGGTTGCTCCAATGCTGGGATACTGGGGCCAATGATCAGGAGTAAGAGAGTGCATGAGAGCTTGACAAGATGTAAAGAAATGTCAGTTCATTTTTCCTGAATGCCATACACTGCATGAAGCTAAAAGCAGCAACTCTGAAATATGGCAGGATGAATACATGAAATCAGATTAATTGTACTATGTTTAATTTTTTAGGAGTTTTCCTTGAAATTAACTGTTAGTTTTAGTTGATTTGCATCCTGGGTAGAAATTTTCTCATGTAAAAGCAGGGGAGGGGAGGGAGAGAGAGCGCCAATGTTCTGAGTAAAATAATACACAACCATTAAGTTAAAAGTATAAGTAAAAAATTACACCTTCATACATATCAGCCTACTGAATTTAAACTATTTCAGTAAAGACAAAATCAAGTTACATCAAACATCTCATTTGAGACAACTAGGATTCTGCCTGCAGAGAAATACAATTGGTCTTTTTAACATCTAGCACTGTATGAACTTCACAGATCATGAAAATTTGACTATAACTTTAATTTTTACAGTCAATCTTCAGGAAAGTTAGGACTTCTCACTATAGGGTAAGTCTGGTTAAAATACATGATCCTATAAGGTATGTGTTCTAGAGCTCTTATGTAGAAGTGTTGTTACTTTAACATTGTACAGTGATTAGGTATTGTGGCACCTATAAAATTATTTTCTTAACACCTAGTGTGGGTTTAGGGAAGACCCTTAAGATACCATAGTGACTTCAAATAATATGCAGAACCGAAGCAGTAGTCAGATAAAACTGTTCTGTATTGTTTAAACAGTAAATAGTTTTTTAAGGTAAATGGGTGAATAAAAATAATTGAGTCAATTCTACATAAAATAAAGTGGACTTTTGGTTAGAGAAGAAAGTATCCTTCCATATGAGGGCACACTGGCTTTCCTACCACAGAAAGTGAATTCTATCTCCAAAAATTTACCTGCCACTGGTCTGTCTTAGTAAGTGGTTAGCACCTTGTGCAAAAGCCCTTGTCTCCAACCAAAAGGCCCTGGAGGAAGTTAAATTCTCAGAAGAAACCCACCTTTTGAAGTATGCAGCATCTCACAGAAAAGACCACCACACTCCTGCTTTTGCCCACTAAAAAAAAAAGGAAAAAAATCTGCCTGGGGAATCTGACCTTAAGGTCTTTCTCACATACTCTTGAGGAGTCAGTCTAGGCATAGTCACTGTATACAAACTGGATTTCCCATCCTCCATATCCCTTCAACCTGCTTTGTGAATTTTTGAGAATACAGGCAATATCCTGAGGTAGGTAAGAAAATTGTCCGCTAACATGTTTAGTACTGTAGGTTAGTAAGAAGATAGTGAACTCTAAAAATGCCAAATGTTTTTAATAACAAATCCAGCAGTACAGGGAGCAAAATAAGCTGAACACAAGCCATGAATATAGAGCTGGCAAGTGCAGCAAGTGATGATGGCATGCATAATCTCAGGGGCACTTTTTTATGGACACTAATCTAACCATGACTTCCATTCACATATTCACATGCCTACATGTGAATAGCACATAGCACAATATTCACATGCCTACAGTTGCTCGAAACAATCTGTGAGAATGAGACTTGTCACTGATAAGGTGCAGCACTAAGTTCACTAACCAAGTCTTTCATCAGAATCACCTTTGCATACAGAAACGGGGAAGGAGGACAGGCTATCATACTTTATTTAATTTCACTTATGTTTGTCAACCTTCCTCCTCTGCTGTGTTTAAGAATTAGAAAAGAAAGTGAATAGGGTTTATTTGGAGAAGGATTAAAGTCCAATCTAAAATACCCCTAAAATAAAGGGAAGTAAAATAACTCAAGGTGTGCTAGTTACAAGCTAACAGAAAATTTATTTCCCTTCGGTTGTTTACTATCGATAAGGCAAGAAAATCCTTACGTATATGAAACTTCATTTTATTTGCTCCATGCATTTTTATTTGCAACACTGTTAGTTTAGGATCATCAAGTCAGCATACCTGATATCCTATTCCAAAATATTTTATATTGCAGTAATAGTTTTCTACATTTTCTCTCACAGAAAACATTCCTGAGGATCCAAACAGCAAAGAAATAGGCAAATAACATTATTCAGTATTATTCTTTGCTTCTCCTGCAAGGGAGACAATAGGTCCCCACAAGAGCTGGTTTTTTCTGAAGGAAAAGGCAACTCCATTAAATAAGCGCCAGTTTCTCTCACTAACATGCATCATTAGAAACAAAAGCAGCAAGTCCCTTATTGTCTTCATATCACTTTGTACTGTTCCGACAAATAGCTAGCTAAGCCAAGACTTGAGAATCCCATCTGCATAGGCAGAGGAAACTGTTCCACTGGTATGAAACCTGTCTAGCAACTCCTGCCATCGCTCCGTACCACAGCCGCAAAAAGCTTACCTGGGAACCATTATTTGCATTGTGACAACCTTCATTTCCCATAACAGCTTTGTATGACAATGGGAACCAGTGTAACTTTAGCAGCTCCAGTCTGGTAGGAGACTAAATCCATCAATAACAGTACTTAAGGCTAGGTCCACAAACTGATGTAGGTCTGGGAGTGACCAGTGCCTGGCCCTGTGTACAAAATAGCCTTGTGCTTACACATTCCTTAGCATGACAGATCTTAACTATCAGTCCATTGGCTTTTTTAGGATGGGACAGTCTCCACATGTCCTGCTGAAGCTGTTCTACCAAGCAAAGCAGAATTCAAAAATCAATTTGGTTAAAGGGAAAAAAAGGGAGAAGGAGGCTTTGTAACACAGTGGTCAAGATGGGATGGATGGTTCTGGTCCCTGCACCA